TTTCTTTTGGGCTCTATTCTGTTTTGGGTTCGTTGGACTGCTTGAATGGGTATATTCTCATCTGTCATCATAGCAGGGAAATTCTCTTCCAACAAGTCTTTGACAATTTTCTCTGTGATTTTGTCTCTTCCTGTTCTGGAATTCTGATGACATGTAGGTTATTCATTTTGATGGTATCCCACATGAACCTTAGGCTTTCTTCATTTTGTTTTGATCTTTTTTTCTTATTGATCCCTTTCCTAAGAAGTATTCAGGTATTTGTCTTCAATCTCATGAATTCTGTCTTCCATTGATTCAATTCTACTCCTTTGCCGGTTCAATATGTTATCTATTTCTGAAAATTTAGTATTAATCTTCCAAATTTCTATCTGTAGATTTTGTATCATTTCTGATTTTTTATTTATGTTGTCATCTCATTCTTATATTGTCTTTCAAAATTGTTCTAGGGTTTTCTCTGTGTTTTCCTCAATTTTGTCAGTGTTTTTCTTGATCGGTCTCTCAATCTGTTGAAGGTACCTAAATATAATTCTTTTGAATTCCTTATCAAGGAGTTCTGGTGTTGCTTCTTCCTCAGGGATGTGTTTTGGGTCTGCATCCTGGTCCCTTGTTTCTCCTGGTTTATCTTGTTTCTTTGTGTGGACTGTGATGCTCTGTTGTCTCTGAGGCATTGTGACATTTTTGTGTTTATATTAAATTGTATGTTGATTGATTGTATGTTGGAGTGACTTGCCCACAATTTTCATTTTTTTTTGGATGTTATCTATGTAAGCAGAGTACTGTGCTTCTCTATTCGCTAGTTGGCAGCATTTATACCTTTACCACCTGTCTCCTTTTCCATTATCAGCCTCACATAGGTCCCTGCTGTCCTTGGCAAATGGAGCCTATTCCTAGGTCCCTGGAATCCAAATGAGAATGCTGTTACTTTAAAATCCAATATGGCCACTGCTTGCAAACATTCAAAATGGCTGTGCCCTCAGTCACTTCAAATAATCAAAATGGTCGCCACTTATAAACATTCAAAATGGCTGCACCCTCATTCACTTTAAATATTGAAAATGGCCACCACTTGTAACAATCAAAATGTCTGTGCCCTCTGGACAGCTGAAAGTCCACAGCTCAGGTTGTCTCCCTCCTTGCTGTTTCCATTCCTAGTCATAGGCCACCAGCACAATTGTCCCTGTAGCCCTTGGTGATCAGGGCTGATCTTTAGGTCAATTCTCAGGTCCCAACACCACTTGGAAATATTCAGGTTGTTGGTCCCATCAAAGTAGCTGACAGTCCACTGCTCCAATCATCTCTGTATTCATTGGTTTCATACTAGTTGGTGGTGAATCCACTTGGGTATAGTTCCTTTTAAAGTTCAGGGCTCCAGGATTATCTTCTCTATCTCTGTCACTTGGTTTCTCTTTTCTTTATTTGAGGTGGTAAATCTTTATGGAAATAGATTGCTCAGTCTTCCTTCTACCAAGTGGCTGGTGGGTTTGAACTGCCAACTTTCTGGTTAGTAGTCAAATGCCTTAGGCACTTGTGCCACCCAGAGACCATCATAAGAGCTATAAGGCAATAAAAAAATAATGATAATAGTAACGATGGCTAACACTTTCAAGCACAATGTGCCAGACGTTGTTCTAAGCCAATATTTCTCAAAGTGGGATTCCTGCACCAGGTGCTTCAGCATCACCTGAACATGTGAGAAAAGCAATTTCTCAGAGCCCACCTCAGACTGACTCAGAAACTCCAGCAATCTGTGTTTTAGTAAGTCCTCTGTGTTGCTGATGCATGCTGAAGTTTGAGAACCACTGCTCTCAACATTTTTTCTGTACTTACTCATTTACTCCTCCTGATAACCTATGTAGAAGATTCTGTTATGATCCTATTACAGATGCTACAGTGAGGCTCCGAGAAGGAAGGTGCTCTGGTAAGATACTACAGCAAGAAAGAGGAGCAAAGACCAAACCCAGGCCCTTTAGCTGCACAAATCCAATCTCTTGGACTGTACTTTATATGTTAAAATATTCTCAAGACATTCCCTGAAAAATCCCAGTAAGGAGAAGTTTCAGGACTTTAAGTGTCCAGAAAATTAGATACGGACTGTTTACTTGGTTCCTTAAAAAAGTACATTTTTAAAAAATCTCAGATTCATTCTTTAATTTTTACTGAAATGATGTCTACTGCAGAATTAGCTGTAGCAACAAGTTTCTAACCCTCTTCAATCTCCATCTGGGGATCTCTCTCTGGTCCCGTCCTACCCACACGCATGAGGAATGGTTTGTTAGGAACTCTCTGGGCTTAGGGGTGATTTGTGTTGATAAGACTTTTTATTGTTATCTGAGAAGGCATCCTGATCCACAGGAAACATAGACATCATTAGACATGATGGCTGCCTGCGGTGTAGTAAATTATTTAGTGTGGCTTTTCTACCTGTAAGTCCCTGTAAACTCCAAGGTGGGATTTTCTATGAGCAACTGAGGAGCTCCTGATTGCTGAAGTTTTCCACCTGGAGTATTTCTGTTGGGAGTGGCACAAAACAATGTTCTGGGAGGTGCCCACTCTCTCTCAGGTGCTTAGAGTTCTGATGCTATGATTGGCTAGTTTGACCACCCTGCTGGGCTCAAAAGGAGGCCTCTTAGAGGCAGAACTCTCTCTGACTGCTGGTTGAGGAAGATGTGCTGCTGAAAGAGACATGCGCCCCTGAAAGAGACACGTGCTGCTGGGAAAGAGACATAAGAGACATGCATTGCTGAGTGAGACACCGAGGGACCAGCAAAGCTGGAAAAGAGACTGTTGGCTGAGGGATGGTGGGCTGGGAGAGAGACTGAGCGTTTTTCCTGAACTTGGATTGTAGCCTGGTGCTTCCCAAATAAATCCTATAACCTGTGAGTTCTTTGTGGCCACTGCAGCAAATTATCGAACCCAGAGGAGAGGTGGTGGGTGCTTTGGGAGGAATGGTTGGTGAAAGGACTGGAGGGAGGCAGCATGTCTGGCCTGGCAGGAATAGGCCTTGGGTTACTGCTGGTAATCCTGTCTTCCTCTTGTAGGGTTAGAGGAGGTCAGAACATGTGGCCTCCTTGCCCTTTTTGCACTGCCCTTTCAAAGTCATACATGGAAAAAAACGGAGGTGACCCATGAGTTCTGTCTCTTGAGTTTGGGCCAAGAATAGGAACCTTAGTAGACATTGATGTCACTGGAAACAAATGCCTGGAGTGGGATTCTTGCGTCACACAAGTTCTTGGGTGGTAGAGTGACAAGGCTGTTAGACCCTGCTGGGGTAGGATACAGTGTCTCCTTCGGGAATTCACCTAGGAATTGTGTGTTCACCTTGCAACAACACATTGGCTGTGGGTAGTAGTAAAGAGTGAGCGTGGGTGGCGCAATCAGTGCTCAACCACTAGTCAAACAGTCAGCAGTTCAAACCCAGAGGCACCTTGGAAGACAGGCTTGGCAATCAGCTTCCAAAAGGTCATAGCATTGAAGACTCTATGGAGCAGCTCTACTCTGCACACACAGGATCACCATGAGTAGAAATCAACTCAGCGGCAACTAACAGCAGCAATAGTAAGGAAGGCCCAGGAGGGATGGAAGCTGGGAAGCAGATAGCAGGTTTGGGCAGCATAGGTGGCCCAGCTGCATGGAAGCTTTTTGATGGAACCTACTTCCATGCCAGAGATTACCAAGCCAAGTCCCCACAGTGTTTGTGAACCGGAGCTGGATCCCACCTGCCTTCTCTGTGGGCAAGAACATAAGTTCTTCCCTTTGGAAAATGGGATTACCATTGTTCTCTCCTCCCCACAGCCTTCATGCTTACCCATTTCTCTGGGTCTCTCTGACCAGGTCGGGGAGGTGCCTGCTTAACATGAGGCAAATACTGTTGACAGGTCCCAAACCACAAAAAGCCCAGCCTCTCCTCTGCTTCCCCATGCTTCCTTCTGCCTGCCCTCCAGGATTACCCAGGATAAGCTGAGTCTTTCCTACTCACTGAAGACAGGATGGTTTTGGATGGCTCTCCCAGACATCTCGTTGCATTTTCCTAGCTAAGCCTCATTTTTTGTTTCGTTTTGTTGACAGCCCATTTTGTTGTGTCTTAGAAAAATAGATAATGTCAGCTGTTTTTCACTTCCTGGCTTTTCCGCCACTTCATTAAAGTACTATTTATTCAATGTCTAAGTTCATTTATGGGGTCGGGGGATGCATTAAGTAACAATGGGCCCAGCTCCAAGTCTCATATCATTTCTAAGTGGCTGCTATTCTGTGTAACCGTGTTTTGGCTTGAAGCCTTCTGGAGGGAGCTGGGGGGCGGGGTGTGGGCAGTTCATCCAGCAGAGAGTGAGACAAGAGAAAAGTTGGATTCTTTTGTAGCTGACAATCAGTAAAGGATAGTATCATCAAGCTGGTATGATCATCAGGAGGGTGGGATTAAATGACGTGAAGCATTAAAACCTCTGAAATACAGAACACTCAAAAAGTGTTAGTTATAATTGCAAAGGACTTACCTTTATCTTTCCATACCTTTTCCACCACACACTCCTTGGTGGACACATACTCACTGGTGCTAGAGGTTTTGCATGTAGTCACTTTCATGCTAGTAGGGAAATACCCTGCATTTATCTTTTTAATGAAATCTGTTATTCTGCATAATTTTCTATTGCATCAATTTCCCTTTCCTGAGTTTACATCATTAAGGGTTTGAAGGATATTGGGTGTCCCCAATGGGGAATTCAGCCGCACTGTGGTGTGGCTTTTCTCCTGGTTTGATGGCTGATGATGGGTGGGAGTGGCGGTTGCGTGTGACTCTCATCTCCCTCTTTTGCGGTGGCATGTCTCATTGTCTTCTGAGGGCTTGGCCTTCTGAGAAGACAAAAGGCTTCTTAAACTTGGAGCCATGAGTTCCTGGCACACAAGTGCCTGGAACTCGCCACCCATGCCCACTGGAAGTGGAAGATGGTTTGTCACTCACACTCTGAAATAGCCCAGCTCTTGTGTTCTTTGTTCTCTTTTGGCAGAACCAGCTTCTTGCAAAAGGACTGTTCTTTGTGGAAGAGAAGATTAAGCTGTGTGAAGGCAAGTACAAGGCAGCTTGCATAGAACCGGGGCCCCTGTGACTCATCCTTTGACGTCTGGAAACTGATGTTTGGAAACATCCTTTGATGTTTGGACAGCTGAAACACTTCTATCCATAAGTGGCAGGCTCCAAGTCAGTGATTCACCTTGTACGTTTCTTATTCAGCTAGGTGATGGCACCTCAATTTGATCCAGCTACTCACAGCAGTGCAAGTCAAAACCAGGTTTAAGAGAATAAAAGGAGTTCTGGTGGTGTAGTGGTTAAGGCATTTGGCTGCTAACCAAAAGGTCAGTGGTTCGAACCTACCAGCTGCTGTGTAGAAGAAAGACGAGGCAGTCTGCTTCTGTAAAGACTTACAGCCTTGGGTATCTAACGGGGGTCACTATGAGTTGGAATTGACTCCATGGTGGTGAGTTTGGTTTTGGTTTTAGAAGAATGAAGTGGAATTGGGTGTTTTCTTAGGAGACTTTGTTAAGTGGGGGGAGGGGTTTTTCATGGCATGCCTACTGGTGGTCTCCTTTGAGGGGATTAAATTATACTGTGGATCCTGCCCAGCTACTCTCTCGGGTCTGATCCTGTGCACTATATCCTGTGTTGTTGTTGTGTGCCATTAAGTCAATTCCAATTCATAGTGACCTCTATAGTATGAGTAGAACTATCCCAAAGGGTTTCCAAGGCTGTCATTTTTATGGGAGCAGACTGCCACATTTCTCCCTCAGAGTGGCTGGTGGATTCAAACCACCAGCTCTTTGGTTAGCAGCTGAGTGCTTAACCACTGTGCCACCAGGGTTCCTTGCTATTTCTGTAGACCTTTACAATATTTCATAAAAGACAGGAGTCATCCATTTGAGGGACATTAGGCTAACCAGGCACCTACTTAATGGGATATGATTTGATAGCAAGGGGATTTCCTGGCCTTAAAAGATTGTATAAACCAGTTGACAGGGTAGAGAAACACTGCATGGAGAGTGGGATGGCACCAAAGGTGGGAGCCCACAACCTCATTTCTGTACCAGGGGCTGCTGTTAGCTCCTACTAGTCTGGTCCTGATCTTAGCTTGCCACCTACTTGTAGGATGACTTCTGGCAAGTTATTAGGTTCTCTTAGCCTTGGTTTTTATCATTTATTAAAAAGATAAAATGAGACGGGGGTTGTAGGGAGTGTAAGGTATATGTATAATTGGGGTAGCATTATGCCTGACATGTGACAGGTCAGCAAACTGGTTACTACTTTTTTTCCTACTCTAGCCTATTGACCTGTTTCTGTGCATCAAACTTACTTCACCTAGCCTTATTAGGTTTCATATCATCCCTTTTTCACTTTCCATTCCCTGAGAAAGAGATTAGTGTCTAGTGAAGAGTGTCTCAGACTCAATAGGAAGGAAAATGAGAAACTGGCAACTGGGAGGTCCAAGTACCTGGCACACAATAAGTGCTCACCAGACGTTTGGAAGAATAGATGTCAGAAAATTAACTCCTGAATATTTGAGAATTTGCTGAACCTGTAGCCTTATTTCCCTTGAATATATCTATCCTGTGTCAATATCAGCCTTATAAATACCCACTTACCCCAAGGCCTTATTTTTTGAGTGACTTGTTTTTACCAGGAACATCATAGGATAGTGGCTATTTTGAATTTTGCAATCAACCCAGTACACAGGTGTGGAAGATGGCTGCTACCTGGTAAGAAGAGGAAAAATAAAATTGTCTCTGGCCACATTGTTCGTATTTAAGTCAGGGGGGAAATTATTAAATACTCCTGGCAGTGTGGAAAATCAGCTTTATGAAAAAGGTACTGAGTGAAACTGGAAATTTAAGTGCCTTTAAGAGGGGAAATTGAGTGTCTCTCACCTAAGTGACAGCAACACAGATCCATTCAGAGTGAAAACTCACAGGGCCAGACAGGATGAGCAAAGACAGCTGAGCTTCAGCCTCAGAGAGTGCCGACAGTGACTGGGCTAGGGTCTGTCAGCTGGGTTCCTCTGCTGCCAAAGCTCTGGGTCTCAGGGCCCCCCGGCACAGTGAAGGGGATTTCATAAACATCTGTACTGTTTAATTTTATGGGTTAGAACTCGAAGCAAAATTTTGTTTTGGGGAAAAACGATTCCCTTGCTATAAAATAAAGTTTGAAGGTAGCAGGTATGATTCAGCCTTCTATGGCTGGACAACCATCCTGTTATTTACAGATTTATTCACATACGTATGGCCCTGCAGCCTTGCTGCAGAAGGGACTGGTGGCAGATTCTAGCCATTTGTTGCTCTCTTGTGTGCAGGAGAATCCATGTTATGTTCAGTAGTCTTTTTTCTAGAATTTTAATGACCCTGACTTTTAGGAAGATTCTTATGCCTGTCCTATATACCTCTGGTGATCTAAACTCGTTGAGTCGATTTGACTCATAGTGACCCCTTCTTGGGTTTCCGAGGCAGTATCTCTAGGGAAGTAGATTGCCAAGGAGTGGCTGGTGGGTTTGATCTGCCAGCTGTCTGGTTAGCAGTCAAATGCCTTAGCGCCAACAGAGCTCCCTTGTGGTTCATTAGAAGACAGTTTTTATAGGACTGCCATCTAGAACCTTCCATTCAAACCCCTTTCATCTTGGCAGGGATGTCTTTCACTGGGGGGCTGTTTCTGCAGGTGAAGTCACTTCCTTCCTTTGGCTCCTTTCTTCCCCAGGGCTACCTATTTCATTAGCCTGTGTCTGTCTGATGTTCTTCTCTGAACTCTTTCCAAAACTTGCATTATTTTCTGAATAGTGTAGCCAGCAAGTAGACCAGGCTCCCAGGAGGTGCTTTACTGCTGCCAGGTTGAGGATTACCTTTCGTGCTGATGAGTTTTCCTTCCTGGTGGTGAAGGGGGTCTAAGCAGGCATTGCCAGCAGCCTACAGGATTCTTCAAAAAGGAGCTGGACTTGCCTTTTTCTCCTTTTAGGGTATATTGCCCAGGTATTGGGGTTCCCTTTGGTTTTAGGAACCAGAATGACCTAACATTTCAGATGGTCCTTTTGACTCCCCTGACCCCACCTCCCTCCGCACAGTGGACTAGCATAGCCTCCAATTGAAAAGAGGATGGTGATGGATTGATTCGTTCAACAAACATTTATTGACCATCTACTCTGTGCAAGATACTCTGCTAAGTCCTAGGGACATGGTGGTGACCAAAAGCCATCAGAAGTTTTTGGTCAGAGCCCCACAGAACCTTGTGGGGCTCACAAACTGGTACTGGAGACAGATATCAATCACAACATCACCAAATAGTAAGGAACTTTGACCCATAAACCAAAA